GAGGAGAGAGAGAGAGGGAGAGAGGAGAGAGGGATGGAGATTTTAACTGTCTCTAGTGAACTGCCTTTACAGGGGGCGTTTTTGAGATAAGGAATCCCTTATCTAGGCAACCCACGGTGCATCAACCACCTCCTCTGTCAGCAGGACCTTCCAAACCGCGCCTGCTACAGGGGACAGGGAAGGTAATGGTGGAGAGAGTGGAGGTGTGAAGTGTGACGTCATTCTAAGGGCATAAAGAAAACATCATCCCTTTCACTGGCTTCACTCTCCCTGTTCTCTCCAATATCAGTTCAGGCCGATGCAAATACACATTCACTAGGTCATAATGTTTCTGAGCATTCTTGTAGTTTCTTACCACAAATTAAATATTGAAAACACACAGAAGAAGAAAATCAGGAGGATCAGCATCAGCCAGGAAGAGAAAACAGCATTTGTGTTGTTGGTCAAAAGCAGACAACTAGCCCTAAAGAAATCCTGTTCTATCATGTTACACTCCAATCTTTGTGGTCCTATTCCTTTCAGTGAAGTTCTCCACTAACAAACGTACTTGTATACTATCATCAAAGTGCTACAATATCCGAGAAAATATCACTTTTGAGACTAATTTCCTAATCTGGTTAAAGTTACGTCATTATTAGAAACAATACATTGTAAATCAATACAACTCCCTCCTAACTATCATCTTTTGAACACATATAAAGGGTTTTCATTGGCTTTAATTGTCAATTATTAATTACATTCTCTAGAAATCGGCCAATCAGAAGCCTCGATAATACACGAAAACATATCCCATCATGTGACAATCAAAGCTGGTCTAAACCCAGCTGCATAGGAAAATAAAATTGAAAACTAAACAGTGAATAAATTGGAAACAGTAATTACCCTGTAGCCCAATCAAAAACACACAAAAACAATGATTCTTTTTTATTACTTAGACGGAGTAAACTGTACGTCCTTTCTTCAGGAGTCTGAACAACCAAAGCCCCACTCGGTACAACAATACGCCCACGCCCCTTTAGAACCTGCACTGATCGCATTGTCCTTCCAATCCCACTCTACTCACAAAGAGAATCGACTTCAATGCCAAAGCCTCGCGCAGAGCACACGAAACAGATCAACACAGCCTGTTGCTATTTAGACCACTCACTTCACTCTCCACAGAGTAACCCTTACCCTTTCTCAGCTGTCTTACAACAAGAATGGAGTGAGTCGAAGCAAAGTGTTAATAATTAACCTAACTTCTCAACACTAGAACGTAGCTTTATCCACCATCGACAAAATGAGTCTCTCACTTACCTCAAAAGTGCTCGGAATCTCCACGTTGTTGTCGCCAATGTTCTGCATTTTGCACTACTTTGACCAAAGCAAAATATACAAAAGGAGATAGTTCAATCAAATTCAAAACGAGCACCAACGCGAAACTTTCGCACTCCGCACTCGAACACACTAGGTAGGTTAGACGTAGGACGTAGGCTTGGACGAATTCGTCCAAGACGTAGGCGCCACTGAGGGAAGAACAAAGTGAACACATCACGTAACAAATGTGTTTGTTTCCGCCCTTTCCCAGTTCTGCCAACTGCAATGCGCACTGATAAATTTCCCCGCATTGAAACATAACAGATATGAAAATATATTTCGGCCTACATTTTGGATTATACGCATATGATAGTCACTAAAGAACGGCGATATTACATAAATATGATCTCAAATTTACGTAAAATACCACAAACTGAATGAAATACTGAATACTGGCTTGGGTTAGATTTTTTAAAATTGGGTAAAGTTTCATGTTACTTTGTTGGTTGGTTTGTTTTCATTTTTTTTTTTTTTTTTTTTTTTTTTTGAGATGGTGATAGGGGGAGAACGCAACCTCGTCGACCCGAGAGGATTACCCTGGAGGTGCAAACGGATATAGGGAATGACCTCGGAGTATCAGAAAACTTCCCACTACCAGGTCCCCGATGACGACCCCTGTATAAGCGGTATGAGCAAACGGACAGCGGGATCGACCGGCTGATTTGTTCACTAGGTACATGGTACACAGAGGACCCCTTTACATACCTTTTAATTAGTATTGAATGATTACTCGCGACTGTCCTGGCTCGTGGCGTCGGGGCGACTGATGGCGGTCCACTGTCCAGTCCTGCTCGGGCCGGGCCGAGGGGCACGTCAGCAGTGAGCTGAGCAGTCGACCCGAGCGTGCATTCCGCTAGGCTTGCACTTTGGGTCCATCTTTCTTCCCGGGCTTCTGCCCGCAGCGGCGAGCGGCAAGCCGAGCAAGCAGGAGAGATGGGTAGATGCCCACGAGCAGCAAGGGGAACCGGGAGCAAAAAAGAAAAGAATCCCCGCGAACAAGGGTTCTTTTTGGGTTTGGCAGCGTTCAGCCGGGTTGGGCTGAACCGGAAGCAGGGGGAGAGAGCGGGGCGCGCAGGGCAGCCAGATTGGCGCTGTTCCAATCAAACCGAATTACTCGGTATCAGTATCAAAGGGAGAGAGGAGCCACTTCCCTTTCCTTCCTCAAATCGCACACACCTACCCTCTCAGCCCCTGGTGATTTTTCCAAAATCCCCAAAAGTGCTGTCCGACCTAGGTTTTGTCTGACCTAATTTTCTCTGACCTATTTTTCTCCTAGCTCGTCGATATGCTGAAATTTGGGAAGAATGTTCTTTAAAGACGAACAAGGCTTCAGAGGCCATGAGGGGGTACTTTAAGTGCAGTGAGGGAAAGACCGCGACTTTGACGGAGTGCAGCCCCACGTCAAAGAACAGTCAAAAGTCCGCTCGGCGCCGTAAATGCTCAAACCCAACTCCCCCCATCCGGTAAAAAAAAGGGGGGGGGTTAGCTTGACTCCTCACCAGAAAGGTAAATAAGATCTACTGGAGAGTCCCCTGATTTTTTTTGTATGATTTTTTAAAATTGATTTAGTGAAACTAGTTTTAAAACGGGGCAAGAAAAGATTTATCTTGCTTTGATACAGAGAAATAAAAAAGAAACACACAAAAAAGAGGGCTCTACCCCACCCTCCTGCTCGGGGGGCCCCGCGCGGTAAACTTCGGAGTTCGGATGGGATCCGGTGCTTGTTCGCTTAAACGGGCTGGGGGGTAGATTGTGAGACGGTTGAGGCGTACGTTGGTTAAACTGTACTGACCCACCACAGGTCATGGAGTCCTTTTCAGCCAGTTTCTAGGTCTTATTAT